TCAACAAGTTGGCAAGGATGTGGGGAAATTGGAACCCTCATCCATTGCTGATGAGATATAAAATGGTGCAGCCCCTTCGAAAAACAATTTGGCAGTTCCTCAAAAAGTTAAACATAGGTACATATGACTCAGCAATGTTACTCCTAGCTAAGAACTGAAAATCCAAGAGAACTGAAAACACATCTCCACCAAAATCAGGACTGTTTTATAGCAGTATTACTCATATAGACAAAAGTGAAAACAAATGTCCATCAATTGATAAATGGATACATAAAATGTGGTATAACCATACAATAGAATATTATTTGGCAGTAAAAAGGAATGAGTGGCCAGGCACAGTGGCTCACACCTGTAATCCCAGCACTTTGGGAGGCAGAAGTGGGTGGATTGCTTGAGTCCAGGAGTTAGAGGCCGGCCTGGGCAACATGGTGAAACCCTGTCTCTCAGAAAAACACAAAAATTAGGCTGGGTGCAGTGGCAGATGCCTATAATTCCAGCACACTGGGATACTGAGGTGGGCAGATCACTTGAGTTCAGGAGTTCAAGACCAGCCCAAACAACATGGCAAAACCCTGTCTCCACAAAAAAATACAAAATTAACCAGCATGGTGTCCCATGCCTGTAGTACCAGCTACTCAAGAGGCTGAAGCAGAAGGTTGGCTTGAGCCCAGGAGGTGGAGGTTGCAGTGGGCTGAGATTGCACCACTGCACTCCAGTCTGAGTGACAGAGTGAGACCCTATCTCCAAAAAGAAAAAGGAATGAACTACTAATACATGCTACAGCATAGAGAATGCTGGAAACCAAGACCTCATGGAGTATACAAAATCCATCTCCTCCGTGCCCTATCCAGATTCCTATGTGAAAGAAGCCACTTATGGAAGACTATATTGTATGATTCCATTTATGTGCAGTGTTCAAAATAGGTACATTTCTAGAGGCAGAAAGTAGATTTATGGTTGCCAGGGGATAGGGGAAGGAGCGGAATAGGGACTAATGCTAATGGGCGAGAGAGAGACAAAAACATTCTAAAATTAGATTGTGGTGATAGTTGTACAGCCCTTTGAATATACTAAGAAAACATTGAATTGCACATTTTAAATAGTAACATAAGGTGTTTGGATTATATCTCAATAAAGCTGTTTTTTTGTTTGTTTGTTTTTGTTTTTGTTTTGAGACAGAGTCTTGCTCTGTCGCCCAGGCTGGAGTGCAGTGATGTGATCTCAGCTCACTGCAATCTCTGCCTCCCAGGTTCAAGCAATTCTCCTGCCTCAGCCTCCTGAGTTGCTGGGACTACAGGTGCACGCCACCACGCCTGGCTAATTTTTGTATTTTTAGTAGAGATGAAGTTTCACTATGTTGGCCAGGATGGTCTCGATCTCCTGACCTCATGATCCACTCGCCTGGGCCTCTGAAAGTGCTAGTATTACAGGTGTGAGCCACCATGCCCGGCCAGAAGCCCTGCTGTTTAACGGAGTGAGTCTGCAATAAATGCCTGTAGGAACCTCAGGAGGACTTCTGCTGTCGAAAGGATTCTGTGAGGCACACTCTTAGATCTTTCTGATGCTTAATGACTGCTTTCACAGTCACAACTTTGGCTTCATCTTTACCCATAAAGCCTTTAAAGCCTTTAAAGCCTTTATATTCTTCATCTACACCCAGAGACTCTGTGTTCCTGACAGTGCTCTGGAGTTGATCTTTGCCCCGAGGCTTTTTTTTTTTTTTTTTTTTTTTTTAAATTACTTTGATGATTCTTTCTTGGCTGGAAAGATTATCTTGGTCTTTTTATATCACCTCTAAATTCTGCTTAAACACAGAATAATTCTTTCTTTAGCCTTTCTCCCACTATCTGTATCTTAGGATACAAGGCTCAAACAAGCCAAACAGACACTTTCAACACTTTGCCTGAAAATCCTAGCCAGAGTCATCAGTTAATGAGACACCTCTTCTACTTTTCACGTTAGTGCTGATGAAAGTTTCATTCCATTGTCCACCACTACATCAGAGTCTGTGTTCCTCCAGATTCCAATAATGCTTCCCTCAACTTTCTCTTGAGTCTTCACCCACAGTCTCCTCAAGGCCCTGCCAGCTTTCCCTCGCAGTCTCACTGAGGCTGTCCGGCGCCTCCCACCTGTGTTAGCTTCTGCAATGGCAGTGCCTCACTTCCAGGTACCAAATCCTGTTCCAGGAGTCTGTGGCTGCATAGCAAATGACGTCAAGCTTAGTGGCATAAAACCACAACCATGTTATTATTCTCACAGATTCTGTGAATTAGGAATTTGGATAGGGTGTGGAGGAGATCGATTTTCTATGCTCCATGAGGTCTTAGACCTCAACCAGGAAGACTGGGTGCATGGGAGCTGGAATAGCTGAAGTTGGAGAATCCACTTCCAAGATGGTTCTTCCTGCCTACAGCTGCTGCCAGCCTGGAGGGCGTGGCTGGGAGGCTGGCTCATCTGGGTCTCTTGGCTGGAGCAACACACGTGGCCTCTCTGGCATGGTGGCCTCGGGAATTGGACTTCTTACTTAGTGGCTCAGGAGAAAAAGAAGCCAACAGAGGGGACCAGAAGTGATGCGGGACAGGTGAGTCTCACTCCTCTTGGCAGGGTTTTCCCAGATAAAGCAAGCAGAGGGTGTGGAGAGGAGTGGGGGATGAGAGGCTGGGAAGAAAGCATCTTAGCCATCCATGGTGTGTATGTGTGCGTGCACACGTGCACACACGTGCGCACGTACACACACACACACACACACACACACACGCACGCACACAATCTGTGAGGGCAAACAGGTTTGCTGGGTGTAGCCAGACTTGAGTAAAGACAGATGGCATGAGTGAGCTGGGTGAGGTTGCTCAGCTCTGAAATTTCTCCAGCCTCACTGGGGGCTGGGTACTGTATGCCAGGACTGTCCCATGGGTGGGGGATGTGTACCATGGGGCAGTAGCAGCCAGAAGAGAATGAATGGTGTAGAGGGTTGAATAGTGGCCCCCTCAAGAGTGATATGTCCAAGTTCTAAACCCCTGTACCTGAGATGAGTTCATCCTAGATTTATGGTGAGCCTTAAATCCAGAGACAGGATCCTTTTAGGAGAGAGGGGAGGGAGCTTTGAGACACAGATGCAGAGGAGAAGGCCGTGTGAAGATGGAGGCACAGACTGGAGGCGCCACTGCCAAGCAACACTGCGGATTGCCTGCAGCTGCCAGAGGCTTGGAGAGAGCTTGCCACGGCCCTCCCTCAGAGCCTCCAGCAGGAATCCACCCTGCTGACACCTTGATTTCAGGCTTCCAGCCTCCACAACTGTGGTGGAATGAATCACTGTTGTTTTGAGCCACCCAGTTTGTGGCAATTTGCACCTCAGTCCTAGGAAGCTAGCAGGTAGTCCAGATAGGAATGGGTGGTGAAGCAGGAGGCGGCAAGGGGGCCCAGCGTGTACCCCAACCTAGACCACCCATCCCCTCCGTCCTTCCAGCCCTGGCCCTCAATGTTTTGCACGCTTTGAGCCCTGATCCAGGGGCCTTCCCTTTCCATGGCGCCACGGCTCAGCACCGCTTCCCTGGGGGCCTGCATCTTCTCAGGACCCACAGTGGCACTCGAGCCACCGTGCCTGGTTTCTGTCCTGCACCACTATTGGTGTCGTCTCCTTTTCCTATCTCTCACTCTCTGTGGAAGTGCTTTGTATACAGTGAGTGCTTAATAAAAGTCACTTTTCTCAGAGTCCCCTAACTCTTGCCCCAGCCCCTTTCCCTGCTCCGGCGGAATCTGTGCCCTAACCTTGTCAGAGACAAGGATAAGTCCCCCCGCCCCCTGCTCCAGTGTGATGGCATTCCCTCCCCTCCCACACAGCGCCCCGGCCTCACGTTCCCCATGGGAGCTTGTGAGGTGATCATTAGCCCATGTGCCTCCTGACCCCACTCCCTGTCACTAATTTGTGGGTAAACTTGGACAAGTCATGGCACCCTCTGCTCCAGGAGTCCCCAAACTACGGCCCACGGGCCGTATGCTGCCCCCTGAGGCCATTTATCCGACCCCCCGCCGCACTTCAGGAAGGAGCACCTCTTTCATTGGTGGTCAGTGAGAGGAGCACAGTATGTGGCGGCCCTCCAGCGGTCTGAGGGACAGTGAACTGGCCCCCTGTGTAAAAAGTTTGGGGATGCCTGCTCTGCTTCCTAGTTTCCTCTCAGGTAAAATAGAGGGTCGGAGTAGACACATTCACCCATGCATTCCTCCATTCACTGGAAAGTTCTTCAGTGAGACCATGTGCTGTACCTCTGCCTTCAAGAAGCTCTGGTTCTATAGATTGTTTTGTTTTGTTTTTTTGAGACGGAGTCTTGCTCTGTCTCGCTCTATCTGGAGTGAAGTAGTACAATCTTGGCTCACTGCAACCTCTGCCTCCTGGGTTCAAGCGATTCTCCTGCCTCAGCCTCCCGAATAGCTGGGATTACAGGTGTGCGCCACCACACCCAGCTAATTTTTGTATTTTTAGTAGAGACGGGGTTTCACCATGTTGGCCAGGCTGGTCTTGAACTCCTGACCTCGTGATCTGCCCACCTCGGCCTCCCAAAGTGCTGGGATTACAGGTGTGAGCCGCTGTGCCTGGTCAAGTTTCTGTGGTTTTAAAGCTGCTGCTCTGGAAAATCTGTCCAGGTGCAATCCAGGCATTTCTTCCTCCTGTGTACCTTTTAGAAAGCAGAGTTTGCCTCAAAATAAGAAAGACCCTTCTACCAGAATGGCCCACAAATGGACAGGTTTCCATAGAAAGGAGTCAGTCCCTGTTCCAGAGGAGCCTCTGGGATTGCTTCCAACTGTGGGATCCAGATAGCCTCCAAAAAGGGTTTACTGAACAGGAGGACCAATTTAACTCTGTCCACATGAAAATAAACGTGGAGATTTTACTTCAAATTCAGCAGCTCTGGTGAGAAGGCTCTCACATGGGTTCAGCTTAGACCTACACAGACTCCACGACCATCTGAGGCCACCAGTGCACGCCAGATGAGGGAAACGGCTCCAGTGTCAGAATTGCTTTTATTTTTATCTCCAGTCAGTCACAGACCCCAGGAAGGCAAGGCCAGGGAAGGGAAAAGGCGCAGACAGGGGGTTGCTTGCAGGAGCTGAGGCCAGTGGACAGCAGGAGTGTCTGGGGTATGGCAGCAGGGCCAGGTCCCTGGAGCTGTGTCTGCCCTCAGGCACTCAGGAGGGCTCAGGTGGAGGTACACTGTGTCTGAGAGATGCAACCATCATTCAGCAAAAGGGCTCAGTGGTGGCTGATGAGAAGATGAGTCTAGGGCTGTCTGAGAAGAGCTGGTGGCCCGATCCTGCCCCAGCCTCCAGTCACATGGGCCCTTGGTGATGCTCCCACCCAGGCTCCGCGTTTCCTCAAGCAGCCACCAGAGGGCAGAAAAGTGCTTGTTCAAAATCCCAACCCATCCAGGAGAGCAGCTAGGACACCTGGGACTTTGCCTCAGGTGGGCCAGGGAGGGAGGTACCAGCCTTTTGGAAAACAGGTGTCTGTCCTATCCTGACTCCTTCGGAAGAAAGAGTAGAGAATGGAAGAACTAAGATTCTGGGGCTTCCCCAGGTGATACAGAAGTAGCCATAGGTGTTCCCCGGGAATGAGTTCCAGACTCGCGCGTGCCTCCCTAGCCCCCATCTGCCACTTCTAGGAGAGGACTTCAGTGGGAGACCCCTCACGTCACATTGCAGATGATCAGATTCCTGGCTGCCTCCAGCTTTACAAAACCTAGCCCACCCCTTCCCAGGCCCAGCCCCACCCAGGCCAAAAATGTGAGGGGCCCGCAGGTTCCCTTCCTCCTCTACAGCTGTGACATCTGCTCAGCTGCGGTTTCCTGTAATCCTGCATTCCTGTTCCCCACCCTTCCTCCTTCCGACACCTCTCCTGGTGTTTCCGGGCTCCCCACTGCCTGGAGATGGAACGCGTAGACTTTGGCCTGGACTCTGCTGCCGACACTGTGATACCTGGGACCCCTCTGCTCAGGCACCAGGAGTAGGAGCCTTCGGCATCTTCTGCCCAGCCTCCCCAGCTCGCAAATAAGCCATTTCTCAAATGGCTGTGACGTGTGCGGTTCACTGTTTATGGCCGAGGGCCTGCTCCTTCTCCCCCGGGCCTTTGGCACTCAGCCCTGAATAAGTTTCTAAATCCCCAGTTTCTGCATAACTTATCCCAGGGAAAGGAGAACTTGGACCAGTAGATTCTAGGAAGCATGACCAAGGCCATCTGACAGTGGCAGGACAGTGAGGTGCTGGGGCTGACTCCTCTGGAACTGAGGCCAGTGATGAGAGGAAACCGAGGGGCTGGGAGGAGAGGAGGTGGAGGAGTGGGAGCCGGGAGAGGAAGTCCGTGGAGAGGTGTTCTGGTGCCTCTCGAGCCCCATCCTGGCTATGAACTTCCATGTGGCAGATGGAAAAACTGAATCCCAGACAGCAAGAAACCCTCATGTAATACCAGGAGCCCGCTGGCAGTGGGGCTAGGAACCAGAAACCAGAAATCTTGCCTCCCAGCTCATGTCTGGATGGTAGAAACCTCAGTGTGCAAAACCTGGCGAGAGGTTTTGGGAGAGATAGGAGGCCGGGGTGGCGCGGAGGACAAGAAATCCCCAAGGACAACAGGGCCTGACCACCTCCCTCTCTGGGCTCCCATGTGGTCTCATTCCGGCCCCCGCCCAGGCACAGAGGCAAGTGTCATACCCTGTTTGCGTGAGGCAGCTGTGGGTCTGAACCCCAGGCCCGCCACTAGCTAGCCGTATGACCTGGGACACATTACCGAGCCTTTCTGAGCCCCTCGACTTTTCCCTCTGCGACCCACATGAGTGGAGTGCTGCCTCTGGGGGGTCACTGCGATGGGTTCGTTTAGACCAGCACACAGTGGGCATCCCACCCATGCCCCCAGTGCTTTTGCCGCACACACACCACCTGCCAGTTCTTGGCTCCTTTTCTCTTCGAATCCCCAAGATGGAACAAACCTTCGAATACTTCTGCAGTGCTTCTTAAAAGCGAGTAGGAAGGGCAGGGAGGGATGGGGTTGGGAAGGAACAGTTAGTACACCTCGTCACCCTTCCCGGGGCAGATGGAGCTCCCAGCCCTGGAGAGAGAGAAGAGGACCCCAGAGAGCGAAGCCAAAGGAGGGTCCTGCTATCCTCCCAGAGCTTTCCCATCTCCTCGCAGTAACTTTCCACTGGCCTGGAGCTGACCACTGCGCATGCTGGCTGCACGCTCCCCCAGGTGTGGCCTCCTGGTCCTCTCCCCAGCAGGCGCCCCTCCGGGGGTTGGAGGGCTGACGCACACCCTGCCTGAGATCCCAGCCGCCTGGAAGCTGATAAGGAGCCCTGGCCTCATTACACGGGACCAGCTGGAGGGACTGGCCCTGGCTGTTAGCATCAGCTGGATGGCTTTCAAATTGGAGAGATGCAGAGATAAGCGGCGTTGGGGGCACTTAGGGACTCTGGGCTGAGTGAGTGGCCAGTGAAGCTAGGAGAGATGTGGACGCTGCCAACTACAAAGGCCTCAGGAGGCCTGGCTGGGGACGAGCCAGCCAGCAGCAGCCCATGGGGAGGGTTTAGGAAACGAGAGGTGCAGAAGGGACTGGGCACAGCCTCAGGTTAGGGCTGGGGCAGAGCAGGACTCCTTCCAGATGGGCCTGGCCTAGCAGCTAGAATGATCGCCTCCTCCCCCAGAACATCCAGCCCGAGGGCCCAACACGCCTCGCTCGGCCTCAGGCCTGTGCACACAGCCTGACGGGTGGAGAGAAGAGAGAGAGAGGATGTGGGGCTTGGTCCTGCAACCTCAAATGCTTCTGGGTGGGTGCTGGCCTGGGTGGATTGCCAAGTTTGGTACAGCTCAGACCTCCTGACTGGCTCCCCTGCTCCTGCCTCCCTGAGAGCCCTAGGATGCGAGCCCTAGGACAGGCCATCACTGAGGAGCAGGGTCCTCGGCCCTCACCTCCTGCCCCAGCAGTGCTCTGTCATGACCCGGAAGGGTCATTCACAGCAAGCAACAGACAGCACAGGCTTCAGTCCTCTCCCATTGCCCTTGGCCTCCCCATCCAAATCACAGCCAAGAGAAAATGGGCAGCCTGGGACAACCATCCTGCCCGCCCACTCTACCTGCCCAGCAGCGTCCCCCACTTCTTACAAAGCGTCAACACCTGACCTGGACGAAAAAGGAGGACATAGACTGGATGCAGGACAGTGTGCCCAAACGTCACATGGTTGTACGGCCCTGGGAGGAACTGTGGGGGCTCAGGGCTCCGTCGGGCTCCCAGGGTCTCTCTCCTGCATCTGAAATCCTGCTATGCCTCTCCCATTTGTACCTTGGGCCCTCAAACCCAGAGGAAACTTCAGCCTTGACTGTCCTGGTTTGGAAGATGTAATGTGGAGAATGGGGTGTCGGGGGGGTGACGTGGCCTCAGTTCCTCAGGGTCCCCATGGCATATGTACAAGCAGCAGAGGGCTGGGCTGGGCCAGGCCGGGCTGGGGTACAGCAGCCTGGCCACAGACTGGGTTGGCAGCTAGTTTTATATCTGGTCTTGCAGGAGCACAGGGGAGGGACAGGGAACCAGGAGGGGGCACATTCTCTGGAGGATGGTGGGATGGGGAGGGCTCCTCATTCCCGGTTAGTGCCAAAAAGCTGCAGGAAGAAGGTGAAGATATAGATGATGTCTAGGTAAATGTTGAGGGCTCCAAAAATATACTCCTCGGGGCTCAGCGAGTGGCGTCGGTTACCCATCAGCAACTGGGTGTCCAGTGCCAGGAACTGGAGAAGTGAGGAGAGAGAGAGAGGTCAGAGGCCCAGACAGTGTGACACTGACTATGGTGCCCCCCTTAGGCCCACTCCCAATTTCATTCTCACCTGCTGCCTGGCTGCCCAGTGACCTTCCTGTGACACCTTCTATCCCTAATTCTATTCATTGGCTATTTACTGAGCACCTGCTATGTGCCTGGCACAGGAATACAGCAGAGAACAAGACAACCAGGATCCCTGTCCTCACAGAGCTTAGAGTCTAGAGGAATGACAAGTAGAACAGGGCTCCAGGGAGCAGTAGGGCTGATAACAAGGAACCTCACCTACGTGAGTGTGGTAGGGAGTTAGGGAGGGCTTCCTGGAGGAGGGGACCTTCAAGCTGAGGTCTAGTCTTCTTCCCATTTCCTCGGGACCCTGCTCTCAAAGGAAGGTGAACTCTTCAGGTAATGGTGAGCAGGCCCCAAGCATTGTGCTGGACAGACATCAACCCATCAGTGCTGCTGACATCCCCATCAAGTAAGAATCAAATTCTTCCTACAGGAAATGAGGCCCAGAGACCTTAACTATTTGCCCAAGATTACACAGCTGGAAAGTGGCAAAGCCAAGATTTGAACCTGAACAGGCCGGCTCCGGAGCCGCAGGTGTAACCATTCTGCCCTGCTGCTAACGGCACACAGGGTTAATGCATTTCCTCTGAGGAAACAGGCTCTCCCCTGGAGCCCTGCTTGGCCTAATGGACTATGAACAGATTCCCTTTGAGACAGCACTGTGCCACCCTGCTGCCCCCCACCTACCCTTCCCATGTAGCTTTCCTGTGGGCTCCAAGCCTAGGAGCAGAACCCTCGAGAAGTAGCATCTGAAATTTGGCAGGCGTGGTGCACTTTTCTGGAGAAATAGGTCAAAAAGTCCACCAATGCCTCAAAAGTTATGAAGCACTGGTCCACAATGGGATTGGAATTCTTTACATTGATTCACATTCTTGTTAACTGGGCTCTTCAGTCACTTGTGTATGAAAGCCATGTTCCCTGGGTCCTCTGAAACTCATTCATTATACAACAAGTATGCATGGGGCGACAGCTGCATGCCAGGGACCGTCTGAGAGCGGGAGACGAGAAACACAAAGCCGCGCCTGCCTTGGGGAAGCTCACAGCGTCATGGGGAACACTTACAGGTCATTACAAGAAAACCCAGGAAATGCACAATTAGGACTATGAAGGAGGAGCTACTGATTGGGCCAGAGGAAGGTGACCCAGGAGAGGCGGCATTTCACCCGGGGCTTGAGTAGGAGTTTGCCAGCTGAGGAGCCTAGGGAACCCTGGGAGGCCTGAAGGGGCTTTGCGTGAAGAGGGAGGAACTCCACGAGGCAGGAGCTATGGGAGAAGCAGACAGAGGAGGAAGGGCTTGGGGCCTGTCCTTGCAGCCTGCACCCTGCTCAGGAAGCAGCAGGTCATGCCCAGTTCTCTTTCCTTCACCCCCGCCACAGACTCCTTGACTCCCAAGACCCAGACTTCAGAGTTACTATAGGTGAGCCTCGTGGAATCCTAGTCGAATCCCAGCCCCAGTGAAACGCCCCCCCACCCCATGCCCAAGAGGCCAGGGCTCCAACAGGGAGCAATTCCAGCAAGCGGGACATGGAGGCAGGGCCACCCCTTAAATGCGGGGAAGTGGGGGCAATTATGAGCACAGGCTTGAAAGTCAGATCTACCTGGCCTCCAGGCGCTGCTTTACCACTTCATCAGCGGTAGGACCTGGGCAGAGCATTGAACCTCTCTGGGCCTGTGAGTCCCTATGTGTAAATGGGAGATGCGTGCGCCTGCCTCCTGAGGCTGTTGTGGGAATGAGATAATGCATGCAAGGGGCCTGGGACGGTGCGTGGCACGTGGTAAGCACTTAATGAACGCTTGCTATTATATTAGTGTGGCTTCATTGTTATTATCTGCAGAAGGAGAAGGTGCCCTCTTGAGGACGTGCCTGAGCTGCTGGTGAGACTCAGGTGTCTCTTGCTTCTCATCAGGGAGGCAGCGCTGTTCCTGGGGGAGCTGAGTGGCCTTAACAGAGCAAAAATGGGAAGCCATGCCCAGGGCTGAGGGGAGCCCTGTACAGGGTGCATCAGGCCCCTGAGCTCATTGGCATTGAGGGAAGGGCACCCCAGACAGGAGCAAGAGTTGAAATGCCTGGGGTTGACGCGCGGCTCCATTGCTGGTAGCTGAGTCATCCACTTGACCTCAGTGTCCTTATCTACAAAACGGGATAGCAGCAATGCCCACACCACAATGTGGTTGTGAGGGTAGATTTATCACCATGTATGTGGCATCCACTATTTCTATTCTTTTTTTTTCTTATTTTTTTAACCACAATCAGGAGAATACTATCTCTATTCTTGAGTATGATTTCTCTCTATTCCGCTCTGCTCCTTCTGCATGTGATTTGGGTTCCCAAGCACATTTACCTTCTGCAGAGAGAACGAGCAAGCACAGGGCCCGGTGCGAATGCTTCGGGCCGCTTGGCAGTCACAGCTCCCAGCATGAGTCCATAAACTGCTGATCTGGCTGATCAATCAGTAGCTTGCTTGGTTGGTTTCCCAGAGCCCGGTCACCCCTGGGTGAGCTAATGAAATAGGGTCTCTCAACTTGGAAGGCTTGGACTTGTCCAGCTCTAGGGGTGGCCCTTCTGAGAAGCACCCATGAAGGAGACCCCCTAGAGCAGCCAGCTGACTTTTCTCTTGGAGAGAAGAGGAATGAAATGATTTCTGCCCAGCCCTTGGCCTATGGCCATGGATGCTTATCTATGCCGTGCTCTCTGGGATGGCCTGCTTCAAATTTCACCCCAGTACGACCTGTCACTGCCACCTCATGCCTGTGAGTCAACCAAAGTCTTTTCATCATTTATTCTCAATCATATTTACTGAACACCTACTATGTTCCAGAGAACATGCTCTCATAGAACTGACAGTCTAATGAAGGCAAAAGACATGATCAGAGATTCTGCATGGCAGTACCTTCATTTACAGGGGAAAGGCATCTGCTGCCGTCTCCTTAGAGACGGAAAGCATTGCTAACTAATGTCTTGGTTAGAGTTAACATCTTAGTGGGTAGCTAGGATCTTGGCTGAGAGCTAGCAACCGAGTTGACTGCAAACCCCTAAAAGGAGAGCAGGTAGTTGAGTTAGTGGCTAGCTCAACAGGAGACCCTGCAGGAGGAGCACGTGGGATGGGGCAGGAGGCCCCTCCGGACTAGGACGCTATAACTTACATCTGAAGAGCCCTTCCCCAGGCCAACACTTGATCTCATCTCTCTCCCCCCATTTGCCTTTCCTCATGGTCTTACACATGAGGAAGGGAATCTCAGAACTGAGTGACTTGCTGATGGCACTTATCTAGTGGCGACTCCTACGTTGGTGGAGATGGGGAGAAGCGGGCTTGGAGGGAGGAGGGGAGCATGTGCGGAGGGCATAGGCGCCAAAGGCAAACTTCCCTGCCTCACCTTACTGGCCAGCACTGGATCTAGCCGGGGTTCCTGGCCAGCCATTTGGCCTGACCCTGCTGTATCTGGGGCCCAGGCTTATGTCTGTTGTCCTCCCTGAATGTGGCCCCAGAGGTGACGCTGAGGGGCTCTGGGCAGTGCATGCCATAGAAAGGCCAGCTCAGAGCCACCAGCAGGCAGGCACTGAATACAAAAAGCTGGAGTTGCAATGTGCTGAATCAGCATAAACAGTGACACGTGGACTGTGTCTGTCCTGCAGAAATGCCTCTGTGAGGGCGTGGAGGCAACCCCCCTAGCTGTTGTTTGCAGCGTCGGTTCTAACAGTGAGATGCTGAAACAACCCAAAGTCTACCAACACGGGTGCGTTTAAATAAACTCTGGGCAGCAGTATTGAGGTAGAAACATCTGTGAGAGACGCTACTGCGAGAAAAAAAGCGAGTTGCAGAAAAATCCACATCATATGATCCCATAAAACTATACATGTCAGAGGAGCCAACATAGCAAATATCTACGAAATGCATATAAAAAGGTCTGGAAGGAGAGAACAATTGACCATCGTGGTTCCCTCTGGGGAAAGCGGTGAGAGACACGGTCAAAATGACATTTGCTTTTTGCTACATTTAAGATGTTCCAAAAGTGAAATCTGTGAATAAATGTATTCACATATTATATAATTAGAAGTTTAAAATAGAAGGGTTAAAATAGCACAAAAGAAGAGTTCGTGAACTCTTTCACTGAATTCTCACCATAAGCCTCCATGGCTGGGGTTGCACTATCAGCTCCATTATTTGCTGAGGACATTGAGGCAGAGACAGTGTAAGTAAGTGACTTGCCCGTGTCACACAGCCCAGGGACAGCTAGAGGGTGAACTTGGGGTTTGGGGATTCTCTGGAGAAGAGACTAACAGCCATATGTCCAGGTGCCCTGGCTGAGCTGCAGGAGAGGGTGAGGGGGCGTGGGAGTGGAGAGAGACCCGAAGTGGAGATCTGGGGCCCATTTCTTGCCTGATGCCAATAGAAGATACTTCTCCCCATTGACCTGGGTGTCAAAAATTTAGATGTCACAGATGACATTTGCACCCCCAGGAGGGTCACCAAAGGAACAGGGTCTGGCAGGCATTTGAGTCAGAAAGCCTGATTCAGGATGAAAGGGGGATAGTGTGTGAAAGTGTATTAATGACACAGCAATTATCTATCCACTTTTTAAAAAGTGGGCTCATGCCTGTAATCCCAGCATTTTGGGAGGTTGATTGGGGGATGCGAATTGCCTGAGGTCAGGAGTCCGAGACCAGCCTGGCCAACATAGTGAAACCCTGTCTCTACTAAAAATACAAAAATTACCCGGGTGTGGTGGTGGGCACCTGTAATCCCAGCTACTCTGGAGGCTGAGGGAGGAGAATCGCTTGAACTCAGGAGGCGGAGTTTGCAGTGAGCCAAGATCGCATCATTGCACTCCAGCCTGGGTGACAAGAGTGAATCTCCATCACACACACAAAAGTGAACCAGGAGGCAAGGTAGGCATCAATAGCCT